TATTTAGATGCCCAAAAAAGACCAGTCTTGTCACAGAGCACCGCGGAAGCGCATTTAATTAGGACGTTCACGCCTTCTTCCTTACCGTAACGCGAAATATGTCCAAAGCTCGTTTTGAACGTGGATATTCTGCTTATAAAGCAAGCGCTCTAACCACAACGCCACGGCCACACAAGCGCTCTAACCACTACGCCACGGCCGCAGAGATTGAAAAAATTTCAAAATTTTTTACGCTAGGAGGAAGTCTTAGACCCTCTAAAACAACACTGATAACAGCGCACTTAACCACTGAGCTGTCAATGAAATGCATTTCGCAGAAAAATAATCTTTATCATGAGTCTCTTTTAAGCTCTACGTTTGTGGAAAAGACGCGCATGCTAGGTTTATCGCTCTTGAATTTTTTTTACTAAAATTATTTTACTTAAAAAAATTGTGAAGTAAATAAGGAATAGTTATATAGATAATCAGTCAGAAATAAATATGTAAATTGGTAAATACCTGTATTTTACGGATCCGGAAAGCTAGGATATATAAAAAAAAAAAGTTAAGTTATTAATAGAAAAGTTCGGTTTGAAATAGGTTTATAAAGAACCGTATTTTTACGGGTCCAATCTCAGCTAGAATTTTATAATATTGTTACAGTCATTTGCTATTATTGTTTTTATTGTATTGTATTATTTTATTGTATTATTATTGTTGTGGTCATTTTTATTACTACTATTATTATTATTTTTATTATTGTTAATATTATTATTATTTTGTTGTTTGTTGTTGTAATTATCATTATCATAATTATTGATATATCATTGTTATTATTATATTTTTCTTGTTGTTGTTATTAATATTGCAATTATTGATATAGCATTGTTATTATTATGCAATTAAAAATCAGATGTATGGGCGAAAAATAGTTTTTGTGAAAATCCTTGAAAAAAGTATATTACTAAAAATGCTCTGAGATTATAAAATTCAATAACAATAAGAATTAGTCTTCAAACATTTTAAGATTTAATTAATTTTTTATTGTTCTAAAAAAATTTAATCAACTCCTACTATTTCAATAATGCAACAGCTTCAAACGAATATTATCCATATATTTTCGTAGTTAGCGATGGTTGTGATTATGGTTGGTTTGAGTATGGAAAGTATTGCTATTTTTTCCAGCCAAAAACATTAAAAGGTAAAAGTTGGAGTGATGCCTTATTATCATGTCAACTTATGGGTGCGCACTTGTTAAGTATAGAGGATCAAGCTGAAAATTCTTTTATTAAAAACATTCTTAAAGATGACAGCTTGAAAAATGATAATTATTGGATTGGTAAGATAGTTATTGTTTTTATGTTTTATATTTTTGATTTTAACAGCTATTGGGTTTTTTAATAAGTTTACTATGCTGTGTGTAAGTTTATAATGCTGTAAAAAAAGAATAAGTTTATAGAAATTCTTATTTTATATCGTAAAATGTATTTATGAAAGGGCTTAATGATGATTGCAATAACAGAGAGTTTAGGTGGTCAGATAACAAATATTTAAATTTCACTAATTGGTTACCAAAAAAACCTAACAATGCTGGATCTGGAGAAAACTGTGTGGAAACAAATACGATTGGTTGGAATGATAATGATTGTTCGAACAACATGGGATTTATTTGTAAATTTGTAAAAGGTAATGGTTAATTATGTTTTAATAAATAAGTATAAAGTATAGCTTTAAAATAACAAAATTACAGCACCTAGTTGTTTTGCCACATTGGAGCTTAACGGGGCTTATCATCAATTATATTACCTTCTTTCATCATTAAGTTTAAATTATTGTCATTATTAATTTCATTTTTTTTTAATACAAATCGTTATTTAATTTCTTTTTTTAATAAAAGTCGTTCTTTTTTAGTACTCTATTATATATTTGTGTAATTGAAAGTTCATTTTACCCAAATATTTAAGTACCATGAAATAAAATAAATAAAATTTAACACATATATTAGTTATTTGGCGTTTTTTTTATTTTTATTATTTTTACTAAACATATTGTAGCATTAGGTAATAGAGATATCGACAAATAGCTAGATTAACAGCAAATTTTGGACAATTTTTTTTCGTTTCCATATTATTAATTCATATTATCTTTTGCAACTTAAAAATATAAATTTTACTATTTAATCTAATATGTTTATATTGACAAATAAACTTTTAAAATTGTATTTTTATTATTTTTAAGATAGTTGATGGCTTTATATTATATCTTTTTAGCTATTCTAAATGTTTTTTAATATATTATATCATTCTGCTGCAAGAAAGCCCACTGAGGGTTTGGTTAAAGCTGGCAGTCTATAAAATAATAAGAAAAAACTTGTTAAAAGATGTTTTTAAAAATTTTTTCGGTCATTAAAACGATTGTTTATGAAAACCAGAAGACTGGTGTGAAGTTAATCTCGTATATTTATTATATTCATGATAAATATAAATTACTGCATATTGCATAAATATAAATGTAATATATTAATGTATATATATATATATATATATATATATATATATATATATATATATATATATATATATATATATATATATATATATATATATATATATATATATATATGTATATGTATATATATATATATATATATATATATATATATATATATATATATATATATATATATATATATATATATATATATATATATGTATATATATATATATATATATATATATATATATATATATATATATATATATATATATATATATATATATATATATATATATATATATATATATATATATATATATATATATATATATATATGGCTAAGTTCTGTGGTGTTTCGATTAAAGTCTTTATGTAATTGGTTTAAATTTATAAACTTTAAAAGAACTTTACAAATTGACTTGGGGGTTCATTTTGAATTAAAATTTAAAATAAACCCCCAAGTAAAAATGGAGTGTAATTTGTTTTAAACAATAAATACGTAACGGCCAACGTTAGCAAATCTTTTTTCAGTTAAGAGTCATTTTTTGTAAGAATCAGGCAGTCAATGGAAGTTACCTCGTCTAAAATGCTTGAATTTTTTATATATTGATCAGAATATAGAGAAAACCTGTTGGGGAAAAAAAAAAGTTTCAAAAATGTTTCGTTCATTCGGAACCTGGGCTTAAATTTTTGAGATTTTTTTAAAAATTTTTAGAAATTTAGTTTTTTGCCACCTTTGAACCCATTTTTTTGGCAAGGCAAAAAGTTGCACATAGCTTTTGCAGTTAATATCAGACGTAACCCAAAAGCTCTCTCCAAAAAATATAAAAGAATTGCGTGACACTGTGCGGTTGGCTAATTATCATAGTTCAAAAGTACAAAATCAATCAGTTTTGTCAATTTTTAATCGGAGTTAGTTCTAGCGGCGAAGTGTTGCACATAATTTTTCTTTTAGGATTTGAATTTATCAAAGGTATTGAGTCTAAAAATGCAAAGAAAGTTATGTGATACCTAAGGCCTATTAATATATTAAGGCTTGAAATTGTAAAAAAATGTTATAGTATACTTACAAAATGGGCTATTACAGCAGAGGCGCTAAGTTTTGTAAAAATATAATCTTGTTAAATGGTCAATATAAGATGACCCTAACATAGTTTAAAAAAAAACTCATGTGATCTTTAGATATTAAGTTAAAAATAAAGGTACAAATTGTTAAAAATGATTCAGTACAAAGAGATATTTTTTGGACACACAGATGAAGTTTTCGCTCACAATAAAATTTCTATCATCCAAAATTAGCAATTAGCATTACACAAAACATTGCACGTAATGTAAAGAAAAAATTTAAGCGTTTCTGACTATGATATAGAACTCATAACAATTGAAATAAATAATAATAAAAAACAATACATGATCAGAAGTGAATTATTTAAATTTACGTCATAACCAAATAACTTGTGGTGATCGAATGGAAGAAGAATCGCTGATATTACGATTGTGGAGAAACAAGTTAGTGGGCGGTTGTTTACTTTACCATAAAAAGGTCTTAACTTTATTTTAACGATCTTTAAAATTTGCATAAATAGAGTAGATATTTTATCATTGCTATTGAGAAATAGGTACTGCATAAATAGAACTTGTTTTTAGTTGAGTATGAAACAAAACAAATGTTTTTATAAAAACTGTTGTTGCTTTTCAAAAGGAAATTGTGGATCATTCAAAAAACATAAACTGATAAACAAAATGTTCTACATTCATCAGAAATTGCTGTAAAGGATGTATTCAACTACATAAAACACCTGATGAGAGATTCTTAACAGAAAAAAGGCAAAAATCGAAGCTTTTAAGCAATTAAACGATGAAACTGCTTTCTGGCTTTAAGATTTTTGTCAAAAAATTCTTCTGGTTCGATACAGAGAGGGCCAAAGAGAGTATTTTGGCAAGAAAGGAATGAGTTTACATGTGGATATATTCTTCATAATAATAGCAGGAAAGTTATTCAAACGTGTTTACTTTACTTCAATGTATAGGTGTGATCAGGGAATAGGTGATGTTGTTTCGTTAGCCACTGCAGTTTTAGACCAATTCAGAATTGATCAACCGCATATCAAGAAAATGTTTACCAAATCTGATAATGCCGGCTGCTATTAGGGAAATCTTTCAGCTGAAGCAATCTACAATGTATGCAAAGAGAGATATATAAAGATGCTGAGATATGATTATAATGAACCCTGTTGTGGGAAAGATCAATGTGACAGGGAGAGTGCAGTTGTAAAGACAATTTTAAAGAGTTACGTTGACTCTGGTAATAATCTTTTGACTGCTGAAGATATACACAAGGCTATGCATTATAGTTTTGGTGCTAAAGATGCAAAAGTAGCAGTTGCTCAAATTAGCAATGATAAAACTGTAGTTACTGGACCAAAAATTAAGAACATTAGCAACAATCACTCATTTGAGTTTGGTGAGAAAAGTATGAAGATGTGGCGTTATTTCAATATTGGTGAGGGAATTGAACAAGAATATGGAAATCTTAAAATTCAATCCTCGATTAAGTTGTTGTTGCCATATAGCAAAACAGATAATTCAATTAAGCGTAACAAGTCACTTAAGGAAAAACAGAAAAGAAGTGACAGGCTATTATATTCATTAAGATTTTGCACTGAAATGAATTGTACTTTATCATTTGAAAGCGATGCTGAGTTAGAAGAACACATGCTATCTGGTCTTTATACAGTTCCGAAATCATTAACATCATTGGATAAAGTTCGCAACTCGTTTGTTCATAAGATGAAAATTACTTCACAACTAAATATGCCAATTTCTTCATCCTCTAACAGTGCTTCCGTAAAAGACAAACCACATTGCATGAACATTTTTCTATTGCAAGGTTGGGCATTGTTGCTATCAAAACTTTTGCAAATTAGATTATGTTTCTGACTGTTAAATAGTTCTTTTACAAATATGAAATTAAAATTTAGGTGAAAGTTATAATTTTGTGTGTTTGTTTACATATGTTTAAAAGTATGTACAATTGATATTGTTATAGATTTAGTAACCTGAAAAGAAAAGGTAAGCTGGTAGAACCGACAACAGAAAATAATGAAAATAGTCAGGTTAACGATAACAAAGAAGTTTATGGCAAAAATGATGACTTTAATCTGACAGGAGACAATGAAGATGATAATAAATATGAGGAAGACATCGCCAATCTTGCAAAAGAAATTTGTCTTGTATGGAAAGCGAATGATTGGGTTGCTGTTGCATATGAAAAACAATGGAATATTGGATATATTGTGGAGGTAATATTATTCAAAGTATACATTAGTATCAAGTTTTTATTTTGTTTTACAAAACAGTGCTCTAAAATAAAAGGAATATAAATAAAATATAAAAATAATTTCAGAATGACATTATATAAGACTTTACAAGTTTTATTGAATGTAAGCAAAATTAAACAAATCATAAACTCTTTATTATATTATTTTAAATGTTGCACCAATACTTTTAGGTATCTATAACTGGGATCAGAGTTAATTGTATGATTAATGGGCAAGAGAAGAATACTTTTCGCTGGCCAGTTACTACCGAGGAGATAAATAACCAAACTGATAAAATTATCTGTTTAGTAAATGCAAAAAAACATTGAAAGAGTCCAGGTCAGCTTTAAGATAGTTGTTGAAGGTGCGATGATTAAGGGATTCTGATAATAAAAAAATGAGATTATAACTCGGATTTTTATGAAAGCAATTTGGAAATTCGAATATTGTTAGAAAATAGAAAAGGTAAAAAATAATGGTCTTAATGCCTGCAGAATCACTAAAACTAGAGCCGAACCATTCAGAGGGATTAGTATTAAAGTCACCAGCATCAACTTCATAGTCTGAAAGATAAAAAGAAACTAATTGGCCAATTTGATCAGAAATAACATCAAAAACATTTTAGTTTTGAAATGAAGGAAAGCAATATATAAGAGAGAGAAAAGCAATACAATTAGGTAGTGCTTAACAAAAGCACATAAAATAATAGTTTGTGGATGCAAACATAGTTTCATAATTTATTGGTTAATTTTTACAAATGTAGATATCCAGAAATATTGTTTAACAGATGAAAAGTTACTTCGAAAGTTGAATATTATTGAATAATAGATTTCTAGTAATTGGTGATGGCAATGACGTTTTGTTTATTTCAATTTTTGGAACTAAGGTAATTTTTAAGTTTTATAAAGAACATTACTCAATGGACATATAGTACTCAGTACATAATTTAATCGTCCTAGCTATTGTCTTGTTACTATAAAAAAACCTTAAGAAAGGACTACAAGTGTGGTACTGACAATTCATACCAAAAATACGAACTTATAATTTAAAGCTGTTGAGGAAATCAGCCTTTCTGAGCTGCCACAGAGTTTCGGCATTTTTAGTTTTGAATTGAATCTCGAATCAAACCAGGCCTTGATTTGCGAATCGAATCGAATCACCAGTCAAAAGAAATTTAAGTTTTTATCTTTATTTTTAATTATACTACACAAAATATTACAAAATTTGAATGTTATTTGAAGAAACTTTTTTTGTTACTTCTTGCCCAGATTAACAATCTGCATTTTTTCGGAAAGACTATTGCGTTAACTGTCGATCACTCACCCTCCCACAAAGTTAATTCTTTCAGACGAACAATTTGTAACTGGAACAGCAAGAAAATCAATAACAACTTTGGATAATAAAGGGAAAATGTCACGTTTGTTTTTTCAGTAGAGAATAAAATAATCTGCAGTAGTTTCAAAATTTAAACGTTGAGCCAAAGTTCTTTTCTCTGGTAGAGTACAAATTTATTTGTTTTGTAAGAGTAAAATTCTATTTGTTTTAAATGAAAAATTTGCTACTTGAAATTCAGCGGGAGTCATGGTAATATTTAAATTGTGTTTTTTATCATATGTTATTTTACGATGTGTATCTCTGCCATAGTAAACATTTTTTATTTAAATCGAGTGTCTAGGAAAGTAGCGGCAAGAAAAACGTCTTTAATAAATTAAACCTCATTTCCAACTGCATAGTAAGATCGTCAACAAATTTACCTATATCTGTTTTATACATTAAGCGAAGATAATTTTTTGAAGCAATGCACGGATAAACTAAACTAATGCTAACGCTTTTTTCCGCACTTAGTATAGTAGTGGCTTCAGATACTTTATTTAAAATAGGAGTCATTGATGTTGTTAATTGCACTTGTGTTTCAGTCAGACAAGTCGGTGGCACTTTTATACATTTTTTTTTATGAACATTCAAATAGAGCACTAAAATTGGTTGGTTGTGAATAAATGATTTCACACAAAGTTAGAGTTTATGAGCACAACAGTCTAGCCAATCAATCCCAAGAAGTTTAAGTGTGCATGGTATACTGGCAGTAGTATCGGTTTTAGTCGGAAAATATTATCTGAAGTCAAATCATACTTTGATAGCACGTTTCTTAAAATTTCTTCAGTGGAAGTAGCTTTGTGACAAGCATTTATTACTTCCAGACTTAGAACTGAAAAACAGCACGATTCTTAAACCCAATAGGATGAAATAAAGTGGCAAGTAGAAACAAGAAAGTTATTGCCATTGTCGGTTTAAAGTAATTAAAAGTGATGCTAGGTTTGGAGATAAACTGACGTTTCAAACCTTGTTGGAAGTTATTATATAAATAATCAACCATATCACTTAAATTTCGAGATAAAATGGTCGGATGTGGTGGATAATATTAGCCTTAAGCACCGAGCTGAAATTAAGCCAGATCCAGAAGTTGTCTCAAATTATCTTTCCAGCAAACATGTGCTATTAGGGCCCATACGGGTTTGCCCAAGTAGGTCTTATGTGGACTTTATATATGGACCTAAAATGGGCTCCATGTGGGTTAACTCTTGAATACAAAATATCAATATTTTTTATCAAAGGGCTAGCCTACATGGGGCCCATTTAGGTCCCATATATGTAGTTAAAAAACGTTAAATTCCATCTAATTTTCTAAATTTAAATGCTATCCAATTGTGCGATAGTGAGGCAATAAGGATCGTGGAAAATCAATTAAAAATTTTGTTGCTAAAGTCAACTTAGCCGCATGTTTCTTTAAAGACTTGGTTTATGTATAAAAAATAATCTTCTTCAAAAAACTGTCTTTTTATTTAAAGTCAAATCATTTTAAAAACTTCGTTATAGTGCTATTAATGTCGTGTATTAGTGGTGGTAAAAGAGTTTTAAATTGTATTTGAAAATTATTTAAACGTTAAAGAGAAATTAAACAAAAAAGTTACAATACCAGTTTTGTAAAAAAAAAATTTAAAAAATGTATTCGCTATATGAGTTTTCATAAACCCACATGCAAAAATGTATACAAAATGATAGGTTTTGAAGAGGTTTTTTACACGATTATAATTTAGTTACATAAAATTTAAATTTACTTACTCATATGAGTGTCTTACTTTTACTATACCACTATTTGAATTATGTGGTATATTTATTAATAACTACTACTGCTTATCTCTTTCTTCCTATATTTAAAATCATGTTTTACTTTTATAAAGCTAGAGTTAAGTCATGTATTTATGACTACATATTAAATTATATCTAATTTATAAATAAATAGTTATTCAAATTAACATATAAAATTTAAATAAACAAAAAAGGGTCTCACATTTGCAACATATATGGGCCGCCCACTTGGACCCAATTCGCGCCCAGCAACATTTTTCCTTGGGCTAGATGTGGCCAACCCATTTAGGCCTCATAAAGATGCCGACTTGGGTCCTATATTGGGCCCAAAATGACTTGATGGCTGGGTTCTATCTTTAATTATAAATCTAAGCACTGAAATGATCATAGTTTTTTTAATAACTATTCTATTAAAATATTATTAATCTATTAAAATACGAATTTAACGAGAAAATTGATGGTTGCTTGATTGTGTTATTGGAATTCTTTTTTCTCTTAGTAGCAGATGTGCGCTTTTTTGTTGCTTCTACGTGTAGTTTTTTATAGTCACGTTTTAAATGGTTCCATAGATGAGACAAAGTTTTCTGAACAGAATACTTTTTAAAAAAACAGAATAGTTTTATAATTTTTATAAACCTTTTTAAGGCCGTTAGTATAAAAACAAAATGTAATTTTAATAAAAAAATGATTCAAAAAATACGAATCATTTTTTTCATATCAAATCTCGAATCGAAGCGACATTTAGTTCGCAATTAAATTCTTATTGAAGCGGTTCGCACAGCCCTAATATATATATATATATATATATATATATATATATATATATATATATATATATATATATATATATATATATATATATATATATATATATATATATATATATACATATATATATATATATATATATATATATATATATATATATATATATATATATATATATATATATATATATATATATATATATATATATATATATATATTACTTATATTTATATTTATATATTCATATATATATATATATTTATATTTATATATACTTATATTTATATTTATATATTCATATATATATATATATATACATATATATATATATATATATATATATATATATATATATATATATATATATATATATATATATATATATATATATATATATATATGTATATATATATATATATATATATATATATATATATATATATATATATATATATATATATATATATATATATATATATATATATATATATATATATATATATATATATATATATATATATATATATATTACTTATATTTATATTTATATATTCATATAAATCATTAAAATTTAACATTAGAATCATATAACAAAAATATCTATAAATGTTCAATTAGTTATTGTAAACTTCTTTGGAATTTTCTTTTTAATGCTAATTTTTATTACCATGACTAAATAACGTGTCTATTTAACATTCTAAAACATGTTGAGTTAATAATGTTATTTTAATGCTATTATTATTTGCTGAATATTATTTATTGTTGCAATAAATTATTCCAATAATTTGTTTCTTTTAACTCTTCATTGTGAGTGACTTTGTCTAAAAAGACTTTTTTTTTTCAATGTTTATTATTTCCAATGTCTTTTAAAATAGCTCTCAAAACAATGCAATGTAAAATCTGAATATTTTATTAAAAAATTATTAATACAATCTTTTTAGAAAACAATAACTCTTGCGGTGGGGGTTGGATTAATTATAAAAAATATTGTTATTTATTCCGAACTCAAGACGAAACATATTATGGAGACGATTGGGAAAACTCATATTTATCATGTCTCTCTAAAGGAGGAAACTTGTTAAGTTTAGAAGATCAGGAAGAAAATTCGTTTGTTACAAGTATTCTAGAAAATGATGATAGCATGAAAGATAAAAAATTCTGGATTGGTATACTTCTTGTTTTAGTTATTTGAGTTTATTTGCAATTTTTCTGTATGCGTTATCATGAACTGAATAAGTTTATATATGTATATGTATATATATATATATATATATATATATATATATATATATATATATATATATATATATATATATATATATATATATATATATATATATATATATATATATATATATATATATATATATATATATATATATATATATATATATGTATATATATATATATATATGTATATATATATATATATGTATATATATATATATATATATGTATATATATATATATATATATATATATATATATATATATATATATATATATATATATATATATATATATATATATATATATATATATATATATATATATATATATATATATATATATATATATATATATATATATATATATATATATATATATTATGTTAGTGTATTCTACAAATAGAGTGCTCACTGTTTTTAAAACACAGACCATTAATGATTTAGTAAAAACACTATCTAATTTTTGTGCACTTCAACAGCATGTTCCGCCATCAGTAGGTTCATCAGGAAAAATGTCTAAACATCAAAAAATTCAAATTATAGAAAAAATTATTTCATAGGAAGTTGGGAGTTGTTATAAATAATTATGTAATAACTGTATTTATTTTGCAACCAGGAAGTTGCATCAGCTACAGAAAAATTATTTTCATGATTTTTTATTAGATTAATAAAAAATCATGAAAATAATTTTTGAGAAATACGATAATTTTAGACTGGTCATTTGTTTTTATAATTTTTTAAAAGGAACTTATTTTCATGTCTGCATTTAGATATTAATTCTGATTTTTTATTTAGGTAATTTTTTTGATCTAAATTAGTAATAATTTCAAATTTTCTTATAAACATAGTACACATATTTTGAAAATATTATTATAGGCAGACGCAGTTTTTAGAATAGACCAGTTTAATTTAAAGTTGACATTTTTTTCTTTTAATTGCCAAAAATTTTTTGACAACATAGTCTCTTTCGAGTATTTTTTATGTTAAAAGATTGTTTGTGGTTGGCATAGGTTTTTTCCATTTGCCCTCGGTTAGGCCAATGTATTGTTTATCGAGGTTGTTTTGTGAAAAAACAAGGCTGTCAACTTTTTTTAAAAATTTTTTATCAAAAACACTATTAAAGTAAACTATAGCTGTACAAAAAAAATTGAAAGAATCATAAAAGGCCATAACTTTGCATTAATTAATAAGAATAAAGTTCTTGAAAAAAGAAAAAACAATTGAGAATTGTAACTATAGGTAAAAAATTGACTGCCCTAGGAATGGCAAATGCTTATCAAAAAATATTTTTTACAAATACATTGTTTTCTAACAAAACAACCCCGATAAACAATACATTGGCTTAACCTAGGGCATATAGAAAAAACGCTATGCCGACCACAAACAATCTTTTAAACATAAAAAAAACTCGAAAGAGACTATGCTGTCAAAATATATTTGGCAACTAAAAGAGAAAAATATTAACTTTAAATTAAACTAGTCTATTCTGAAAACTGCGCCTACCTACAATAACATTTTCAAAAAATTCATACTATGTTTACAAAAAATTTGAAATTATTACTGATTTAGATCAAAAAAATATACTGAATAAAAAATCTGAATTGTTTCTAAATGCAGACATGAAAATAAAACTCCTTTTAAAAAATTATCAAAAACAAATAACCAGTCTAGACCTATCGTATTTCTAAAAAATTATTTTCATTATTTTTTAATTATCTAATGTAGTTGATGCAATTTCCTCGTTGCAAAATAACTACAGTTATTATATAATTAATTATAACAATTCCAACTTCCTCTGAAACAATTTTTTATATAACTTGAGTTTTTTGATGTTTAGACATTCTTCCTGGTGAATCTACTGATGGTGGAACATGCTGTTGAAGAGCGCAAAAATTAGATACATGCTTTTACTAAATCATTAATGCTCTGTTATTTAAGAATACTGAGCACTCTATTTGTAGAATACATATATATATATATATATATATATATATATATATATATATATATATATATATATATATATATATATATATATATATAAATATATATATATATATATATATATATATATATATATATATATATATATATATATATATATATATATATATATATATATATATATATTTATATATATATATATATTATTATGATATTTTCTTTCTAATATAAATTGCAAAGTTTGTAATTTTGCAGATAACACTGAAAGTTATTTGGTATGTGCGGACGTCTATACCAAGTTAATTGTAAACTGGTTCAATTGTAACTGTCTATAACTTAAAGCGAAAAAATGCCATTTTATAGTTACGGGTCATAAACATAAAACAACTTTCGCACACATGAATCGTAATTATATTTAGGGAAGAAAATGATGTTAATTTTGGAATTTCAAAAAGTCATATGTATATATATATATATATATATATATATATATATATATATATATATATATATATATATATATATATATATATATATATATATATATATATATATATATATATATATATATATATATATATATATATATATATATATATATATATATATATATATATATATATATATATATATATATATATATATATATATATATATATATATATATATATATATATATATATATATATAGAACTGGATATCTAGTAGTTCGAAATTTCATAAATGTCTTATCGAAAATTCATAAATGTCAAGAAATTATAGACAAAGTAAACGCATCTAACTCACTTTTTATCGAAATGAAAACACCAAAAGATTCTAAAGGTAGACTTATTATTGCAAAACTTAACCTACTCACATTACATTTAAGCTAGTTTTTACATATAGTTTTGTTTAACAAAACAACTTTAACAAAACAAAAAGCTTTCATTAAAGATGATTGGAATTTCTTAAGAAAAATACCAAGTGCGTTAAATTTGGATAGTTGTATTTTGACTTGTGACATTGTTAATCTATATACTAGTAATACATATAACTTAGGTATAGAAGCATTAAAGTACTGGATTGAAAAACATAAAAGTTTAGTATAAAAGATTTACTCCTAAATTCATCATTGAATCGACAACAACTTTCTATTCAAAGACCAAAGCTTTCGACAAATTTTTAGAAGCCATTCCATGGGTACGAATTCCGCTTCAGATTATACATGCCTAACAATTCGATATTTAGAAGAAACAAGACTTTTTCCTAAGATTTTACCTAAATACTGTTCCACCAAAGATGTAAATGACATACAGGAATTTTATTATAAATATATTGATGATGGTTTCTTAATTTTGCCAAAACATTTAGATATCCTCGAGTCTAAATATTATTTGACCGAAATAAAAAATTCAATCAGTTTTACAACAGACATCGGCAAAGAACTTATAATAGATGGTAATACTTATAGTATTATTATTTTTTTAGACATATCTATCATCGTTGAAAACAATACGCAAAATAAAAACGGATATTTATTATAAAGTAACTAATATATGAGTATTGGTTACTTTATAATAAATTAAAATGCAACAGCCATTTTACATCAATCTGAAATGCCAACCTTTTATTACTGAAATTTTTTTTTGAATAATCTACCTTCAAATGAAAGATTGAAAGAAGTTTTTTCTTATGTCCAATCAGTAATTGCGTTTAAACAACCACCCAATCAACTGAGAGCACTTATTTCTTCAAAAATTCAATCAAACAGTAAAAAAGTAGGATTATTTAAATATGTAATGATAATCGTTGTAAAATATGTAAGTTTTACCTTCAAGAAGTTAAATTATTTACGAAATCAAATGGTACTATTTGGAACATAAAAAGCCATATTACTTGTAAAAGTAAGAACGTAATTTACTATTTAAAATGTTTGTTATATAATAATAAAGCTACATACACCGGAAAAACAAATAACCTACGACTTTGAACTAACGGGCTCATTTCTAATTGTAAAACTGGGCAATCATCAGATAGGTTTGATAACTATGTATACAATTGTCAACGTGCGCATAACACCATTATAAAACCTTTTTTCCAGCTTTTTGGAAAAAAAGTTGGAGCTAAAAAATGAAAAAAAACTGATTTGTTATGGGAAGCATTTTCACAATTTAAAACATGATACTTTTAACTGACATTACAATATAGATTACAATAGTTGCTAACAGCAAATTTAAATAATTATTATTACCTGTTTTTTAAAAAAAATCAAATTTTGTTGTAATGATAACAAAAACAGCACTACTGATAGTTTATTGAAACGCCTCTAGTGGTAAAATATTAAAATTTATAATTTATTATAAATTTTAATATTTAAGCACTATAATAAATCTTAATATTTTAGCACGAATTTTTGCACATTTATAGTAAGGATATGTTTAACAAAAAGTAAAAACAAAATATAATAATGGTTATTTAATCGTTAGTGTTGTAGAAGGACACCAAAAATTTATTTAGGTCTACTCATAAAGACTATGTCGCTACGGTTGTTAACCAAATTAGTTTCTTTATGGTTGTTATTGTATAACATACAATAATAACTAATCTTTTTTAAATTTTTGATTGTTATATTTTGTGCAGTCTGGGAAAATGATACTCAACAGAGTTAGAAAGTATTTGACAATTTTTTTAGAGACATTTTCGTTTAATGGTGGGATGTAGCATATGATATTGCTCTTGCGCGTTTTTTATTTAATTGGTTTTATGTTTGGTTGTAACGTGAGCATACATTTGTATCCAGATTTATTTAATCCATTTAAACAGATGCATAAAAGATATAGGGTTACATCAAGAGTTTTTACGATTTTCAGGATAAAATGTATAGTTGTCACAAGGTTATTAATTTTGAAAATTTGCACAAAATATTTTTTAATTTTTTCTATTTGTTGTCCACTTTTGTTCTTATAAGTAGTTAAACTATATTTTGAACAAAATAGGTCATGTTATAAAATTGC